GAACTCTGTAGCTGTGAAAGCCTRTGGATGGGTCTGATTTAGCCATGTGTTTTGAGTGGGCCAAGGAAAAGAGCTCTTTAGATTTCTTGTCCCTGTTACAGAGCAATTCATACCATAAGGACTTTACCATGTTGGTTTTAGCAAGCTATATCCTGAAAATGCCCCAGATCTTGAGTGGATGCTCTAGTTTTTGTAAGCAAAACCGGTTGCTGGGAAGTGAGAGGTGACTGGAAGGGACAAAAGCAGTGACAGCCRCAGGAGGGGGCTGAGGTGTTTTAGAGAAATTAGTTATAAGATGGATGGGAGTTCAGAAGAARAAACTGGAAAAAGACATGTATGGTAACGTTCAGAGAGAAAGATTTTAGAGTGATATAAAACCACCTAACAAAGGAGGAATTAGCAAAGGAATTGGAAGGCAGCAGAGTCAGAGTTGCTGGTGTGTTTAATTATATTGTCTAGGAAAAGGATCAGCACAGAGGATGAAAGGTGAGAAATATAACCACAATAAAATAACCACACAGAARGAAATCTAGCATTAATCACTTGAAGGGGGAAGCATGAGAGGACTAGTTTCTATAACCTAGCAAGAGAATCCAAATTTAACTGGAGAGGAACAGCTTCTGAGACAGGATTGGACCTGTGTTTGCCTGGGATAGAGTTAATTTTCTTTCTAGTAGCTGGTACAGGACTGTGTTTGGATTATGAGAATAATGTTAATAACTTACTGATGTAATTGTTACTGAGTAGTGAACCATCAAGTTCAAATTTTGGTGAGAGACCCAGCTGCCAATGGTAGAGGGAGTAGCACTCCCAGCATTCATGAAGGGTGTTAGTCAAAGAGTGAAGGAAATGTTCTTTATCTCTTTAATGGACTCTTGTAAAGATGTCAAAAGGGGTGATAGTGGTGGCTTTCATGGCCTGGGCTTAGAGACTGCTGTTCTTTGGATGACAGCATCGGATAAAATCACCAATAAACCTGGCAGGAAGTTTCTGAAAAGAAAAAATGCAAAGTACTGTTGCATCAAAAGAGAAGTTTTTGAAGGGACCATGTTGTTTTAATATCAGGAGAAAGCAACTGTGGCATGATGAAATATTTTGCTTAGAGAGSAAGAGTTGTCATGGGCCAGGTTGTGTGGAAAGCTCCTCCTCGACCCTTGCATTGACAAGTGTCCTGTAAACATTGTGTTGTTGTCACTTCTTTTGTTGAGCAAATTCATTCACAATTTAACACTTTTTCTAAGGTTGATCCAAGGGAAAACTGGCTAATCTTTGTTTACTGGTAATTGAAGAGGGATAACTTGTAGATGGGCATCTGTTGGTCAGCAGTGAATCTGGAAWCCTGCTCTGGGGGCTGTAATTGATGCCGTTAGAGAAGGTTCTGAAGAAGAGGCAATTTTGGTAGGTGTTGATACAAACAACAAACCCTTCTGGTGCTCCTGAAGCCAGGTGTAGCTGCCCCCRGAGGCAGAGGCCGCAGAGAGAAGGGAAAAGGCTGGGGCTAACAAAGGAATTCAGTGGAGAGACAACATGGGAACACATTGCTTGGAAAGGGGCTCCAAGCAAGTCTGTAGTGCTARTATATTTTTCCTGGAGTGACAACATGAATGGGTGGTGTTTCTTTCTAGTTACTCATATGAGCACCTTTGTTAAGCTAGGCACTCCTATTTGGAGTTTTCTGTGGAGCTGGGAAAACTGTTAGAATATCTTTTCCTTTTGGAGAAGKCTCTTCTTCAAATCACATCCTGATTGCTGTGTCCTTTAAAAAAATCCTACTTTGGATAAATTGTTCTATTTACATGGAAAAGGAGAACTTTCTATATTTGCCTTGTGCAGTGAGACRGATACCTGGACATGCTGAGTTCCTGTGCCTTGAACCCCGGTTATGGCCTGCTGGGACTCTTTTATCATCATCTCTGCTTCTGGGCTCCTTCCTCCCAACAAAAATCTTAATGTTCCTTTTTTGTTTCAGGACAGAGATTTCTCTGATTTCAAAGTTTTGTTAATGCAAGACTTTATCACTTTTTACTTTTCTGTATTTAGTGCTGAAATTTGACTGGTTTTTACCATTTTCAGAATGATCTCAAGCTGCCATTTTTCTAAGGGCTTTGCTGCAGTGAAGCTGAGGATCCAGTGTCATTTACTTTTGGATGAGTGTAATATCAGATTTAAAAAAAATATTATGTGCACACAAGAACAGGGCACATAGTTAGCGATTTCAGGAGGCAGATAAAGTGTTATCTTCTGTCACTCTTTTATTTTTGTTTTTATTGATGACTGGAAAAATAATTTTAAAAATGAAAGATTTCAAATAAATTAACATGTTTGGGTTCATGGAGACCACTGCACTTTATTTTTTGTAACAAAAGTGAATTGACTTGTTGTGATAATGAGGGGTTTAATRAAAGCAATTAATTAAATTATTTGTTCAGGCAGTTTCCACCATCTAAGCCTCCATCATTATGCCACACACAGAAGGAAGAGAAAAAGCTAGCAAGACATCAGGCAAAAGATTCAGCAAATTGAGCAAGGAATATTATAACAGATTGACAAACACTAGTACATATGTAAAAACTGTACTAAAACTTTTTTTGTGCATCCTTTTGATTAAGCTAGTGAATTGGTAACCCGATTTTATTTTGAGGACAAGGGTGTTGAGACTCTTTTTGTAGCCGTCCTCTAGAGCCGTGCACTGAAACCCAACACCTTTTACTTATTTCCCTAGATACTCTAATCCCTCCCTGCTTTACCAGTATCTTTGAGCTGTTCTTCCCTCTGTATCCACAGCAACGTGAATCCCTGCTGGAATTATTTGCTTCTAAAATGCAGGTGCACTTGTTTAATGTTGTGCTGGTTCACACTCTTAACTTGAAGACTTTTTTACCAAATGGGAACCTCCAYTTTACMCTGTTTCATGTYGGGCATTATTATATTTATTAGCAGYATCTRAATCAATCCCTCTCCTGACACCCACTGCCTGTTTCTAGGGCCTTGGTTGTTTTCCTGTTAARAGCTTTTAGGCACCAGTAAGATTCAAAAGCTGTAGTTAGTAAGCGATCCTTTTGTTAGCCTAGAAATAATAAAGCTCAAAATCCTCAACCTGTCCCCCCGTGGTGACTCTGCCAGTGCCCGGCAGGAGCTGCAGCTCCCCTCTAGTGCTCAGGCTTGTCTTTAAGTGCCTGTATGTATGTAAATGTATTTTAAATCCCGGGGTTACTCATGCCAGCTACACTTTGAGAACCAGGCTTTTTTAACACAAGATAAGACGTTTCTTACTTATTTAAAGATTCTGATAATTTTCACAAATGCCACCAGCCTGTGCTTAAACACTGAACAAATTTTGACACTTAGCAGCAGCAGCAGTTCTCCTCTTTGTGTGGAAATGGGGCCGTTCTTTGCGTGGAGCTGTGCCAGGAGCTGTGCMGCTCTGCAGAGCCAGAGGCACTTGGAGTACAGGCACCAGCCCCAGAGGCTCTGCAGCTCTGCCCCTGCACCAGCCTGCCCTTGGGGGGGTCCAGCCAGGATGCTTTGTGCCTTGGTTTTCCTCAGCGTAAAATGGGAATCAAAGATATGACTTGTTTCATCTCATTTCATCCAAGGAGATGCTAATCAACATTTTGATGSCTATGAGATGAATGAGTGGGAAACATGAATTAATGTTTGGGGCATATGGGGATGCCATGGGAGCACTGAGGTAGAAGTAAATCATTAGTTAGTAAATCGTACTGGCTGAAAGGTCTGATTGAAGCCTCCCGCTCAGTGGGGAAGAAGGGAACAAATACCATATGACTGGGGAAGGCCTGGATGCCTGTGTGTGGACTCAATAGAGGTAGAGCATCTGCAGAGGAAAATGGTATGTGACCAGATCAATAAAGTGCATCATAGTGCAATCATGCAAAAGAGACRCACTAATGTTGCCTACAACTTTGATTCTGACATGTTTCTGATGTTGGCTCTCAAGGTTTKCGTCCTAAATATTAACAGTATTTAAACTTAATGTAATTGTAGCCCCTGGATTTGAGCACCTGTTGCCAAGAGGCCATGCAGCRTGTACAGATGACTTCAGGTCCATACTGAAAGGAAATCTCCTTGCTATCAGGGTGGTAGGATAGGAGGATGTATAGSATGTTTATGTCATTAATCCAATGTAAATAAATGCCAGGAAATGTGCTCTGTCAATGGGTGAAGTTACTGTAGTTGTTGTTTGCATCCCACGAGCGGCGCTCCCTGTGTGCAGATGGCATCACTCTTTACACTCTACATTCAGCTTTGTGGAWCAGGCTCACTCTCATTTACATGAAGACCATTTTGTATCACTCAACCAGCATAAGGTGGCAATAAATGAAGAGCAAGTTCTATTTACATCCACCTCTGCAGAGTGACCTTAATTTAAATGAGAATCAGGCCCATAATCTGTATAAATATATGCACTCTGTTACATTAAGGTTATTTATTACTTTGTGCTCGGCCTGAGTATGCATGGAGATTTACCACAGATAATCCATAATCCAGAATTAAACTATTAATATGCATTTTGAGAGGGGCAGCCATAACCTTGAAATTCCTTGGTTTAAGTATGACCTTTAACTTTGTTTGAATATATTTTTTAAATGTATGAATAACAAATTAACATTGGTTGATAAAAAACATTSTGATTCCTTTGTACCATTTGCATCAGTCCATCCTTAACTTACAGAAAGCCTTGAAGATTAGAAGGCTTAATCACTTGTAATATTTATTTGTTTTCAAATGTCAGATCACATTTAGTTCAACATACTGTCAGTCTTGTCCCCCTCCTTGCCCCAGCATTACTGAAACTGCAGTGGAAATTGTTCTTCTCTTTGTATCCAGAGATACCTGCATCTGAGCAAAGTGGAACACTTTGTTCCTGTGTAAAGGAATTGCTTTCTGTATCCTCCTGAACATGGAACAGAGGTATGCTGTTCTTTTGACATGCCTTCCGAATTTCTTTCAGCTGGGGCTGTTTGTTTTTCTTTCCCCAGGCCAGGTCTGAAGTTCAACAACCTGATCTTGATTTCCATTCATGGCCTTCCAGGAAAAGACCCACAGAGCTCCAAGTATAGAAGATTTTTAATTAACAGGTTTGTCTTCACATCTAAACATTTCCATAGCTCCTGCAGAAAACATAACACTTTGTAATTCTTGTGAACTCGTCCTAAATTTTAGATTCATCCATAGACAGCCCCAGAATACTCCAGTCTGTCTATCCAGCATGCACTCAYATGCAAGAGAAGTTGGACAGATTCATGATTAGGGGAATAGTGCAGTAACTTCAAGACAGCAATCCAAGACAGTGTTATACCAGGATAGTGGTCTCTGCTTTCCACAGCTGAAGGAAAATGGTGGAAGAGCCCTGTCTAGGGATTGTCAAACATTTCATGGGCTTCCTTATTTGCTGATAAATATAGTATCTTCCATCTAGTCAGATAAAATTGTACCCCGTTAAAAYTCATAATATGTAGTTCTCATTTAAATACAGTATTTTTGGCTTTTATTTTGGAATAAATCATCACTGTGGACTCGAACATGATTGTTTGGAACATTGAGGAGCATTGAATTAAAAATGAACAGTTATTCTGAATAGTTGGGGAATGCACTTAGTGTAAGTTATTTAGATTTGGTATGTGACTCTTTGGAGCCTTCATATTGTGTTTTACCAAATCTTTTCCTCAGTGAGCAGCAATGCACTAAAGGGCTGGCTTTTCAAATGACAAAACAGCTCCAAATCTGCTTGCTGAACCTTACAAATGAAATCTCTACAAAGATATGAAAATGGTCTAGTGGAACCTGTTTAAAACCCACTGATTTCATTCGGAATTTTGTCCTGACAAGGAATTTTTTTATATGTAGTTGCCTGTATTAATTTTTGTAGTGTATAAAGGGGTGTGTTCAAGTGCAAATGTAGCAAATGAAGGAATTTTATGTTCAAATAAATCTATCTACTCTTTTTCCTAAGTTCACTCTAGAAAAGTTCTACTAACAAAGCATCCTTCCTGACAGAAAGTTGCAGTTCAGAGCTGCCTCACCAGATTTAGCTGTTAAAATCTGAAAGCAGATTAAGAGTGAAAATTGAACTCTGCAGGGTATGATTTCTGAAAGCATCCCTGTGATTTTGGAGTGTTAGTCTCCTGGGAGCTGTGTACCTCAATTATAAAAGTGCTTTTGAAAACCTTCCTGTGTCCTTAATGTCCATTTATTTATAGATTTCTGCATTATTACAGTTTAGAATTGTCAGTGGTTTTCTTCCCTTATTTATTTGCCTCTGGTGTCTGTGAGTACAGAGGACACAGAGCACCTCAGAAAACCTRAGGCAACTCAGTCTTAAAATTCCCCAGGTCATGAAAGCAATTGTATTTGTCCTGAATGCCAGCTTTAGGAATTTTTTATCAACAATTAACATAGAACCAGGAGCTTTGTGTTGGGATGTGTGTCCTGGTATTAATGGCARAGTAGCAGCTGTCAATGCAGGTCTCTGCCCACACTCTCTGCTGCAGCTGCTGGTGTCACAGAACAGTATCAAATGCTGGAACATGGCCCCAGCCCCTTCTGTTTAATCACTTCTAGGCCTAKGGGAGAAAGTGGAATATTTTTCATCACTAAGTATCAATAGAAAGTTGAGTTCTTGGGCTGCTAATGGCCATGAGTTTAGTTTGGCAGGTGGACTGTATTTTCTACAGTGACTTGAGCTGACTGCCTGGGTGAAGCCCAGGGTCTCTGTATTGGCCATTCCCATCCTGAGGTCCTGGCAAAGGTGAGACTCAGCTTCTTTCACGTAGTATGTTCACAGTCCTTATTTTTGCTATGTTGCTCTGGTCTCACAAGCCAGACATCCTTGTGACACCAACCATTTGTCTTTTTTGCTTGTTTTARACCTGTTGCATTCTTTTTCACAGATCCTATGGGTTTATTGCTCTACAAAGCTATAAATGGGTTTGTGCAGTTCTGCTGAAAGAACCTAATTGAATAGGCTTTGCCTGGTGCAGGTTTCCAGTATCAGGGAGGTACAAAGTTGAGCCCAGCTGGATTTGTGCAGTGGCCAGCAACCTTCTGTGCATTTCCATGATGAGCCATTGCCAGGSTCAGTAGTGTTCATGAATCATGATGGACCTTAGCTGGGAACGTTCTCTCTGGTCGGCCTCACATTTTATAGTGATGTGTCTGTCACCCACTTGTATGGAATTATTTTATCTCTAGGAATCTTTGTCTTTGCAGAAGACGATGAAGCAAACAGCACAAAAGGAATAATAAGTGTCCTGGTATTTGCTTGGTTGGACATACTTCGTGGGGCCACACTCTGAGCCTTAAAAGACCTTTGGATAGAATTGTAATTTTCATTACTGGGACATTAAAAGAGACTTTGTTCCATTTGGATTTTGCTTTAAGATTGGCTTTTTTAAATAGCAGCTTTCAGATCTTTGATACTTCTTTCACTCACAGGGATATCCAATGCTTTTTGCTTGGAATGGGCTGTAGCACCCCTGAAATGTGAAAAAAGCAAACCTTGTTCCRAKACTGTTAAAGTCAACACGTGACTTKAGGGTACTGGCACCRAATTGACACTGCCAGAGCATGTTGCTTCKGATATGTGCTCCATGCACACCCTAAACACCCTGGAGCTCAGGACTAGTTTAATATGTTTTCAGAATTTGTCATTCTTGCATTGGGGAAAAGTTAATTTTGAAAAGAGTCACCAGTAGGAAATTTGAGATGTCTGCCTTTTATTTCTAGTTCTGAAAACCATTTTTCTAGCTTTCCACTTACTTTTAAACTTCTTGGACTAATACTTTGGAACATGGATGCTAAAATGATAGAGTGCATTCCATGCATTTGCATCTCACCATAGCCATGATGGTGAAGTGGAATAGCAAAGGAAGGACAGTGGGGAAAAAGCTGAATAAGGAAGTCTTGTCTTGGAGAAAGAGTTGAACTGTTATTTTCTTTACAGTTTCAAAAGCCTCCACATTGCATCAGCCTGCAAAGGAAAAGAGAGTAAAGCATATATTTCTGACTTCGTTCTTGAATTATGTGGTTGTGAGGGCTAGTGCTGGAAGGGATTGTTTGGTTTCTGCAGAAAGTTGTCAATTTGTAACTGAGTATTTCCTAATGCCTGATCTTTTGCCACAGAGTGCTGTAAACTCACAGCAAGGGAGCGGGCAGAACCACTGGGGGCCTGGGCCGAGCTCACCAGATGTCTAATTAATGCCTGCTGTCAGCTGCTGAAATGTCACTTACAGATATTCTTTCTTCACAGCCACTGTTTTAATGATGAAGATTATGCACAGATGTCACTTTGTTCCTGGGTTAATGTTGTGGTTGGTAAAATGACTGGCATAAACCGCACTGCCAAATACGTCGTTGTTTCCAAGGAGGACATAGTGCCGTACGATTACCTGGTTCTGTGCACAGGACAGAGCTACCAGGTGAGGTGTGTGCAGAGTGGAAACCAGCACAATATTCCCAGGTTTTCTACARTCAGTGGTGTTCCTAGGATTAAACAGAGCAGCCTTAGCACGGGTAGCACCCGGCAGTTTGCAGCCCTTCAGTGCTGCAGGTTGGGCTGTGTCGGTGCCGCTGCCGAAGCCAGAGAGGAGGGTTGGACAGAATTTTTCACCAGCAGTTTACTGTGCAGGGTTGGGCATGAGGCAAAGCTGCTGGTGTTTTTGCCACCATAACCATTAAACCTGCTAAGAAGCAGGCTCAACTGACATGTGGCCCCAGTTAAGTCACAGGAGACTTAACTCCAGCTGGTCTAACACCATTTGACCTASTTCTGGAAACAGAGAGAATTCCTTATCAAATTAATTACTCACCTCACGTGATGACCATGCCTAGRCACATCCATAATGTTGCTTGGTATTGTAGCACACAGCTGAGTTTCCAGTGAGACTGAAGCAGACCCACTACTGCATGTAAGAAGTGGAATCAAGCTGAGCTCCAGCCCTACTCAGACTCCCTGGGCAGAGTGGCTTCTGCCTCTTGTATCCCCATGAGGCTCTCAGGCCATGTAACCAAACAGGCAGCTTGGTACAGCTCCCTTGCTGCAGGGTTTTGCTTTACCTGGGTRGTTTGAGGTAGAGTTGCATGCAAGGCATTTTGCCTTTAAAATCAGGAGATGGATGTGAGTACGTTTGCAGTTTTGCAGTGCTATCCCATGTCCCACAGCAGTGTCTGGCTGCATGTGTGCAGCATRCTGCATTGTCTGAGATTCCTTCTCAGAGCAGAGCCATGCTTAAACAGCAGCCCATGGCTACTGTTCAGCAGGGATGAAACAAAAACTGAAGTGTGGGCTGAAAAAGTGCTCCTAGGATAAGGTGTTTGGAGGTAACTCTGACTAGCAAAATATTTTTAAACAAGTAACTACAGTGGAGGACAAAGAAAGATAAAGAAAGCAAGAGAAAAGGCAGGTTTTATCTACCTTTTAAAGGAAATCCCATCATCTCATCTATTCTCACTTTTAAACTATACMAAAGGATAAGAAGAAATTAGTGGCTTCTGTTTTATTACACAAAGCTCTAGTACATTCTTTTTATAAATTATCCCTTATTCAGTAAGCTGCCAAGTTAATGCTCAGTAAAACATTATCTGTTAYGATTTAGAGATTTACGCGTTGAGTAAGATTTTTTTGGTGTCACGCTTGTTTTTATATGACCCAATAGTATTTCAGCTGATCTGGTTGGCAGTGAGAACAGGGTTCAGGATGTGCTCAGTGGTACTGAGGAAGTCAGAGATGAGATTGCCTTTTTGCTCTGTACAGCTCAGATTGAGTTTGTTATTGTAAAGCAGYATTACACAGTGAATGTATTAGTGAATCTTTGCATTTGAACCATCAAGCAGGTTTTGATCCCTTTCTCTGGGACAAAACCTGTTGTTGACCTGATTTTTGCTGACAAAAGGTGGATGCAGTCTGGCTTCACAAAGACTTCCAAGGGCCATTTGAAGTGGTCTGTTATTCAGAGAGGTGCTGATATCCCTCTGCTGGGTGTTGGGACATTTCTGCTGTTTGCTGTGCAGTCCCTGGTGTTTGCCATGTGCCCCCACTTGTACTGGCACTGCTGTTTGAAATGGTCACCCACATCCCACAGGAAATAGGTAATACATGCACACATGTGTACAGTCAGATCGGTGTGAATCCATGTTCCTGTGGCCGTGGATGTGTTTGCTGCTGCTGAGTGTGACAGAGGGTTGCGATGTGCCAGGGCAGCAGCCATTGGGTAGCCAAAGTGGGAGTGTCATTGTCTTTTAGCATCTCCAAGTGCTGTGCCATATATCCACTCACCAATTCGTTTCTCCAGGCCTTGGCTCCCACAGAAGGAGAGATCACTGAAGTCATGACTAAGTGGCCACAGAGATACACAGAGGAAGTCCCTTCCAATCACTTCACTCTCAACGATGCCCAGGACTGCTTAGAGGCAGCATGCTGGCTGGAGGAAAACCTTGTCAGCTCCGAAGGTAARGGGCTTCGTTAACACACACACACAGTTACAGAAATGTTTTCTAGGCTTATTATTTCCTTTATTCCATGGTATAATTGGCATCTGATTAATTCTAACATAGTCTTTCATCTGCTGTGCTTTGTTTTCCAGGTTAATTTATAATTTTTTGTCATTTTTGATACCCAACATATTTAGCTGGGAAAGAAAGGTTTGAGATAGATTAATTATCTGCAGTTATTATATAAAACAAAATGAGTCCCAAATGTAAATCTGTCCRGAGTCATTAATTAGCCAATTAAATAATAATTTAATTAGTGGATGTGTTTTTCTGTTGTATAGAAAAATATCTAGATTTGTGGCATAACACAAAGAAAACAAGTCTAAATTAGGAAGTCTCTGCCCGCATTGTATTTAGTTGCATCAGTTTACAGATTTTCACATAGAACTGCAAGCTCCTGGTACTTTTTAACCCTTAAAATCAGACATTTGTGGAGATGTGCACCATYCCTGTATTTCCTCAGCCTCGTTGCATGTGCTCTGTATGTCATTAGTTCATCACACACTGTGTGTGTGCACTGTGGAAAATATYTGGGACTGTCCAGGTTTCTGATTCAACTTTGAACCATAGAAAGAGAGACAGAATCAGTGAGTGCATGTAGTGTCAGTTCTTGCTGGCTCTGAGTTAGGCCAGTTCAGAGCAGGCAAGCTGTCTTTGTGAGGAATTCCTGTTGGCACAGTGCAAGAGGAGGATTTGTTGAAGATGTGTTTTACCTGCCTTGATTGTAGAGTGTGATGAGAATTGGCAGTGATTTGGCGTGGTGCAAGGTTCACTCCTGCTTGGCAATCCTTTAGAGAAGTTCTCAAGATGCTGGAAATTCCTTTATCATCCTCCAGGTCTTGCTGTGAGCAGCACAGGAATCCATAAACATGGCAGCATTTTCTCAGACAGCTTCCTGGCCTTGGGCACATGGTGAAGGCTCTGGAGCAGTCCAGCTCCACCTGTCCTCCAGCTGGTACCAGCCCCTGCCCACACAGTCCTGCTGGTGTCCAGCTGATACCTGCAGCTGACTTTGCATAAACAGATGAGGTTGTTAGTTTTCCCGGTTTGCTGCTGCTAGTCCTTCATGTAAATCCCTGAGTTCCCAGTCCTGGAATGTGYTCTGGTCCCCCTGTGCAGGGATCTGCTCGGGAGCAGCCATCAGCTGGGATGCACAGCACTGGGAGGATTGGTTGCTCTGCAGCAAATGGCAYGATCACAGTGCCTCACCTGTCTTGGCAGGAGTGCCCCATCTCCAGTAGTACTAAAGTCATAGGGTGTTCATCTTAACTTCATTATTGCTGCTGGCCTTGGCTGCAGYGTGGAGCTGCATCTCTTCATCAGGCACTGGTCTGTCTTTATGTGTAGAGAAGGTTAATTCATGCCTCCCAATGAGGCCAATCTGGAGGGACTTTAGGAGATGTGGTCAAGGAGAGTTGTGACACCTTCCTGTTTCCCCCTGCTGTGGTTTCAGTTCCCTTTCCTTGYTCTTCCCATCACATTCTCTGCTGCTGTGCAGAGTGCCCAGCTGGAGAGGTCTTTCTCCACTGATCTCAGTTTCTCTTACTCCTCATCCTGCTTCTTTTTCTGTCAATGGTTCTTACAAACACTGTTCTTTCAGTCTTGATAGYTGTGACAGGGCTCTGGGAGGGCTTTCTGCTGCCTGGAGCACGGAAACAGGGCAAGGACTGGCCCCACAGCTACCACTGTGGCTTCACTGATGAAACCCAGCCACCTAATGCATAGAACCTGTTACAACTGTAATTGGGACTAATTGAAATTCATCTCCTATTAGCTCTGCACTTCCCGTAAAATAAAAGTAGGATGGAAGTAAAGTAARGAGCAAAACTGCTTTAATGGCTCAAAATGGAGCAATTATATTTTTTCTCTTCACCTAAGCCTAGTTTGCTGCCTTGTTAAAAGCGTGTTTGTAGGAATACTCTTGCATTAAAATTCCAGTGCATGAATCACCAACCGAAGCCACCAATGCTTTAGTTCATACTGGGTTTCTCCTTTAGCTTTTGCAAACTGCAAAGATTCAGGTCACATYAGGGTCACCAAAATCTTTTGCTTCCACTTGTGGAAAATGAATGAGTCTGCTCTGCAGCTGAACACTGACATTCGGGTAATAAATGATAAAACTACTGTAATGATCTTTATTTATGGCTGTTTTTTTTCGGTAGAAGATTATTATGTTTACTCACAGATACATACATTTTCATGTAGTTAAATAATAAAAGCATCCTGAGGAACTGCTCTCTGTCCAGTGGACATAATTTCAGTCCATAATGAATATCTGTAGTTCCTAGACTACTAGCACTGTCATCTAAAAAGCCACTAATATTGTAATAAGCAGAAGCAGTAAATTGTTGATTTACAAGAGGTCAATAAAGGAGCATTGCTTTCCCTGATCTAATGCAGTTGTATTTAATATTACCATATAAAACAGAATTTTAGTTTTCCTTGAGAAATGTAAGACTCTCATCTGATCTTGCACATCCCCAAATGCCAGTGTCTAATACAGTACCTGAGCTTCTCTCTGAGGGTGAAGGTGTCTCAGCCCAGCCTTACCCTGGAGTCAGAAWAGTGCTTTGCTGGGCTGTACTTCTGGGAAACCCTCCTCATCCTCCTTTTCCAGCCACAGCATCCTTTTCACTCCTGATGTTTCAGTCCTTGCAAATTGAAAACATGTAAATGTAGCATGAGGCTATCAGCACCTGCACACCACGCTCCTGCCTGCACTGCCAGCACATGGAGTTAATAAAAATTAGTGTAGCAAAACTGCTCTTTACCMACAAGTTCTGCTGGATTGCTTCTTGCATTACACCCTGCTGCARCAGGGAAAAACCAATCAGGCTTATGTCTTCTCTTTTGGCTCTCTTCTGAGGCTGGTGCAGCTGCAGACATGTTTCCTGGCAGGCACAAGCTGTGGGATAGGTTCTTCTGGCTTGGGAAGCCAGGTCAGTGATGGACACATTAGACAGAATTCCTGTATTCTGATATTTATTAAAGTAGGAAAATCTCTTTCTTCTTATGTTTTGAAATTGATGTATTTGCAGGTAGAATGGTTCTGTCCCTCTGGTCACTTCCGTGAACAGTGAAAAAGTGTTTTCCATCATTGCTGTGCAGTGTACTCATGGGGCAAGTCTTGTCTCTGGCAGCTATGAAGAGAGATGTTTCTTTGGCAGCTACAAGTAGCCAAACTGATAGGGACAAATAAAATAACCTTGTAGTCAAARGGGAATAGTAGAACATCTGTTAACATTTTTATCATTAATATTCTCGGGAGCTGATGCTGTGAGCATGCTCAGTTTAGTATTACCCTGCATCTCATGCAGTAAAACATGGTCCAGTGAGATTAGTTTAGCCTATGAAATAATACAATTTAGAGTATAGGGGACGCTGTCACTTGTGGCGAGACGTAAATGTCACTGCTGAGGTAAACGTGTGAGTTGGTTGTAGCACTGCCCAGGTGTGGGACATTAAACCACTGGGAAGGTGCTTTTTAGGCATGCTTGTGCTGACAGGTCAAATGTGAAACACCATCAGACCGGGCGTGCATGAGCTGATGTGGACATGGGCAGGCAGGTGGAGGTGTTCCTGCTTCTGTCTGAACCCCACAGCCAGAGCTTGAGGCTGGAGCTGGGGGGCACGTGGTGCACAGAGAGCCAGCAGGGCTGGGCTCTGGCCCTCGTGGGRAGGGTCCCTAGCCCCCAGGAGCTGGGGCTGTTTGTCTGGATTACTCAAAGGCTTTGTGGGTTACATAGCAGACAAATGGTTCCTATTCCAAGCAGGGGCACAGAGAGATCTGGGAGGAGAGGTGCACATCTCAGTCCTGCTCAGAGGAATGTTTGTGAGTTTTGTATTAAACCACCCTGAGATAAAACACACAGCTGCTCCACTGTGTCCCAGCTCTGCCTCCCTTATTGCCAGGAGGGCTTTAGCCATTAGGCTGAAGAGTCCCCTTGTGCTCACACAGAACAAACCCTCCCCTCCTCATATTCCTGCTCAGCACTGACTGTGCCRTTTGAAGTGTCACCAGGTGTGGACSAGAAGGAGCAGGGCCCTGCCCTGMAGCTCTGCAGTGCCAGGCAGKAGGGCYGGGTCAGGTCTGAGCTCCCTATGCCTGGGGTGGGAGGATGGAGCTGTTTTCAGGAGTGGTTTTTGTGCTGTGCTGACACTCATCAGAAGAAGCGGCAGTTGAAACGTGCTGCTGTCACAGCAGCTGCTCAGATGGATGGCTGCCTCCAGCTCGCTGAGCTCCCTGCAGTGAGCAGGGATGGAGCTGGCTCTGGGTTGGGCATTGTGCCATGTGCAGCTGCCTTCAGAGTGGTGCTGAGCTCTTCCCACCACCAGGGACAGGTGCATCTGCAGGGCCATCCCCATTCTYTGGAGATCAGGCTTTGGCAGAAGGGAGTGGCAGCACTGGTGACCTCTGTGTGGCACAAGGGCTTGTTGGCTATAACTTGGCCTTTCCACAGTTTGTGGAGGTTTTCTGCATGATGTACTGAATTTGATTCTGTCTGCTCCCCCCTCCATCAGTCCTGTGAATGAGCAAAATTAAGAAGAGAGGAAAATAAAAATGGTGTTTTATTAATTTATTTACCCCTAGAGGCTTTTCAATCAAAATAATTTCAAATTATGGGGTCAGGATGAGTATCATACTTCTGTGTTAAGTACTTGCCTACTTTGTGGGATGTTTTGTACAGATTCTTCACTAAATTATCGTAGCTGCTGTTGCTAGGTAACATTGTTTGCTTCATAGCATCAGAGAAATAAGAGGGTCAAAGAGAGCAATTCCATGTTATTATCATCTGAGTTATACTAATAAGGTTTTCATTGTATGTCTTACAAATCTTTTTCCCTTTTYTTTCCTCTTAGGGAACGTCATTGTCTATGGGAATACAACTGACATTTACACCACGGTAGAAACCCTCTTGTCCCTCGGGATTGAGGGTTCCCGCATCCATCTTGTGCAGGCTCCGCTCAGCTCTGCCGGTCCCTGCCTCAGTGACGCTGCCCTGGAGCGTGTGGTGGGGGAGGCCCTGGCAGAGGCGGGTGTGGCCGTGCACCCGGCCAGTGTCCTGGCACAGTGGGGCCAGGATGACCAGGGCCTCATTACCTGGGCTGCCTTCACCACTGCCACAGAAGACCTCCGACTGCAGTGCTCAGTAAGTACATATTTCCTGTGCCTTTTCTTCAGGCTGGTTTTTTAACACCAAAGCCATCAAATGTAGATGGTCCCTCATTGATTTATCTTTTTCCYCACTGTCTCTATGTTGAACATTCACTTGTTAGTCTCAAGTAGTATTTTTTTTAAAAATCCAAATAAATGTGTTGTTAATGCCCTGACTGATTTGGATTAAAATGTATTTAAGTCACCTGACACACAAGTAGTTGTTCACTGYTGAGTGACAAATACTCTTAATTCATTTTGTAAGTAATTCCAGAAATCCTTTTCTTATTTAGATGTGCAGTTACTCCTGTCTATAGTTAYGTGCATTTGATTGTCATGGTAGAAGCCATAAGTGCTAGGATAGTGTGTAACTTTATGAAAACATATTTTAAGCAGGTTCCTTTCCCTCTACATCAACGATTGCAGGTTTTTCACTTTCAGTACTAATATCTCACGGAAACTGTAGGCATGTTTACAAGTGTGTCTCTGCTCTGAGACTGGGCGCAGGTTCTAGCCTTTCCTAAGGGTCAGGATAGTTCTGTTTCCCTTCATTGGGCTAATCCATAGGAGCAAACACTTCTGATAGGGTCACTTTAAAACCTGCATTTGTAGGGAGCTGATTGCCCCTCCACACTCCCCACTGTGTGTGCTCTCCTCTTTGCATCTGGTGGGTTTAACTGCAGAGAGGACAGGCGCTGTGCCCCTCCCAGAGAGCTCCCCAGGTGTCAGGGTCCTTGTTCCCCGCCCAGCTCTGCATCCCTTTTCTTTTTAACATAGGGATAGTAAAGGCCTTCTTGGTGGGGGTGAAGACCTCACACAACACTTTTATCCATAGTGGTCTCCTGATTTTGGTCTCCACATCAGTAGTGGTGTTCCTCTCACTCTTTCCTTGTATGCAGCTTTTCCAGTTCTCTTGATTTGAAATCTCTTTTAATCTTTCCACAGAGATCTCAGTTTGGTTCTTGTTTTTGCAAGTTGGTATCCGCTGACCACCTCCCCTTCAGCCCACCCCTCTTTTCCACACTGCCTTGCTTGTGTGATCTACCCTGTTCCTTCAGACCCCCCTTGCCTTGGGGTTTCTTTCTCTTGCCCATTCGTGCTCTGTGCTTGTCCTTCCTTCTTGAGGTCTCTTTCACAGCCTCGAAAATGAAACGCTAGCGATTACTTRCGATGTCAAGGGTCTTTGTATTCTCCAAAACCAGTTCAGTTGCCATGCAAGGCTCCTGTRTCTGCCTCCAGCCACCTGGGAGGCTGGACTTAGAGGAGGAGCAGGCTCTGGAGAGCAGCTCYGCTGGGAAGACAGCAGCACTCATGAGAGACCAGGCTCTGCAGGAATCAGCTCTGCAGCAACTCAGGGCCTTTTGGGATTTCAGCCAGTATCAACTGTTGATTGGCAGTTCTTGGGGGCTTAATTTGTTGAGTCCTGCAGGATAAAACAACAGGAGAAAATCTCTTCTTTCCCTAAAGCAGCAGCCTCCCTCCCTCCTCCCTCCCTCCTGCCCGGGCTGACAGATGGCTCCTGCCTGGAGGTTGCAGTGCTCCCCTCCCCTCTGGTGACACTGTCCTGCCTGTCAGCCGGCAGGATGTGGGGCTGTGTGGTCCTGTTACCCTCCAGGCAGAGCTTCCCTGATTTTTGGCTCTCTGACATGGTCAGAATTCCCTTAGCTGTGCATAGTTCATCACTTGGTTTTATCTATGTACAAGCTCAGGGGCTCTGGCTCCTCACTGCTGCATCTCTGCTTATGCCGATGTTGCTAACATTTCCAGCTCCCTTTGCTTCTTTCTCCTATGCCTCTTCATTCAGCTGGCTCATCCAGCCAGTTGAGTATCTGACACTTGCCCTTCGTCCCCAGGAAAGCTCTTTGCGGGTACAACTGGATAACACCTTTACCCCAGTTACAGCTGTGTCCTGAGCTGGTGCTCAGGGAAGGACAGATTATAGATGCTGCTTTGTCCTGGCACAATTATGTCTTGGGCTGTTCAGGATGRAGGCAGCAAGGGAAAATGTGCTCATCTGAGACCTTTCCACCCTTTCCTCAGCCTGTAAAGGAAYATTTCTTGCTGGAGGGGCACCAACTTGTCATCTAATGGTTTTAAAGGCTGAGGACAGTAATGGCAGGAAAAGCTCTGTGTGAGGGCTCTAGGGCTTCACAAACTTGTTTTGTCAGTTTTCATCTGTGTCCTTTGCAGACTGTGGTCTTGTTCAAAATATCTCTCAGCCTTGTCATTCTTACTCCTTTCACCCCTCAGTGTCTSGTGGGCTTTCTTGTTTTACACTCGTTGGGGCTGTGTTCTGCCAGCTCTCAGTTGATCTTTTTCCAGAGGATGCTTCTTGTGGTTGTTGCTTCTCCCACATCTGCAGTCTGCTCCCAGCACCATCTGCTTTGCAGTGCTGAATGCGCTGCCTCAGCTTCTGTGTGGGGACAGGAGCTCTGCTTCCTTGTGGCCCAGGAGAGGGACAGTACCATGAGAAGACAAAAGGAGAGAATTGTCACTAGTTCTTTCTTTAAGATTTAAAGCAGGAATTTATGGATTTAGAGTCCTTGGCCTCTGCAGCTTCCACTGACTGAAATTCTGCTGCTACAGTTGGAGTGAGGATGACATTTCCTCTGAACAAGTTTAATTTCTGATCTTTCCTTTTCATCAACTGTCCCTGTGCTGGTAGCTAAAGTAACACTGTTGGTAAACAGTTGGGAAAACACTTGCAATRCACAATTATCCTGTGAAAATCCAAATACATTGTGCTTTTCCGTTCCTTGTGGTTTCAGGTTGGCTTGAGCATTTGAAAGAAAACAAACTKAACAGAGGGTTCAGATCTATGTTACATGCTTGTACTAACACAAAAAATATGCCCACTCAGGCTGTTTGACATAGCAAATTTTGAAGTTTTAAAACTATGTAGTAACCAGAAGCAAATGATTCTTGTTTAGTAATTCTCATTTCTACTGTCTTAATCTTAACTTTGGTAGCTGTAAATGCTGGATTAGAAGGATCTCTCTGCTGTGCCAATGCTGTCAAAATCATACTGTATTTTACATTCTTGTTTTTTAAAATCACATTCAGAATGAAGTCTGGGTTTTGATTTATGAAATCAGCCAGTAAGTAATATAYGATAACTTACACTTATATACATCCCTTTTTAGGCATTTTTTAGCTTTGCCTACAGAAGAGTGGATTATGAAACCTTTAAGGCCATCAATGATTCTTGCCTTGTTTTTGATGGAAGGCTTGTGATTGATGCCAAATTCCACACCAATGATGTCAACATCAGGGCTGCAGGTCCTCTGACAAAGTTCTCCAGGAGATACTATAGAGATGAATTGACACACAGCAACTTCAACTCCAAGGAGGTTGGCTTTGAGCTTGCTGCATCCATGCTGAGTCTTTTTGATCCAACCTGTCAGCCCAGTTCTGAGACACCAGAAGGCTCAGACAGACTCATCCCCATGTACAAAATGTGTAAGGTTCAAGGTATGTCCAGCTGTATTTCTGTCGCACTTCCATCCCCTCTGAGGTATTTTTGCTCTTCTGTAGTACAGGCATGTCCATCTCCCTTCAGGTGCCATCTCATAGCCCTCAAAGCTCCTTATGTAGTGGAAAAAGATGATAGCAGAAGTAGGACAACAAATACATTATTTTCTTCATTGTTAATGACTTAAATCTCATCTTTTCATTTATGGCAGGAGGTGTTTTTCCTGGAGGTTATAACTACTTGCACATTTCCAAGCCAGCAATCCCCATAGCCTTGGATGAAAAACTTGCCCCATGTGATTTTGTAAGTTAAAGAATGGAACTTTTTCTTGTTTCGTTCCCTACTTTTGYTTGAAAAGATGTTCCTATTTAGGGTAGCTGGGCCTGGGGGCACCGTATGCACCAGATACAGTTGGAGAACCTGGAGGAATCTCAGAACTAACTGAACATCYCAGGTGTTCCATTCCACACTTCTGGTGTTTGACTTTCTCCAGAGATGCCTGGCTTCCATAGAGAGGACACAGGACAGTATTAGTAGGATTTCATGCTTTCTGTCTTAGTGATGAGCCTCTTTCCTCCCTGCAATRTGGTGCTGCAAGTGCATGCAGATGATAAAGCGTGGCAGTCTGTCAGGGGAATTCAGAATAGTGGAAGGTATTGTGGAAGAGATACTCTGTGCTGCTAGAAAATAGCAAGTCCTGCAGCCATGAGAGTTGTCTTGAAACAAGACAGAGGGTAGCACTCCACCTGGGCTGCATGGGAGATTGTCTCAGGATACAAATGTGGAGGTGCTTCTCTTACTGGAGAAGCTGACTTGAGGCTAGAAAAAGACTAGACTAATGTCTTTTAAAGCTGGAGGAAGCTTTCCACCTAGTCAAGGTCCTCTTTCACACAGATTGTACCTTTTTCCTTTGGAATTTCTGCATCAAGCCCATTTTGCAGTTGATTTAAAGTGCAGTTTTTAAAAGGTTACTTCACTTTTGATTTTAAAACCTGGACAATGGTCCACAGAAACAAATGGGCTTTTTAAGAAGAATGGTTTAGAGAGAGGAATCAGGCTCACCTTCTTTTTCAGATCCAGGATGAGCCATCCAAAGCAGCATGTAGTAGAAAGCAGAAAGGGCTATCAGAGAGAGAAATTGGTTTTGTTATTTCAAATTGCTAGAATATGATTAGCATTCTTTTGCTAGCACTCTGATTACCTGCCGATTACCAGAAAGGGGACCATCTTTAAAGCCACTCCAGAAACTTCATGTAAATCCTAAAAGAGTTTCCTAAAAAAGAAGTAAGAGAAGGTAGTGAAAGGTGGTAGCGTAGATGTGAAAATACTAAAGGTTCCTGTAGCCTAGCAACAGGTTGTAGAAACRTATAAAACTGTAACAGGAATACCGCTTGAAAAAATACCTTCAAGCTATTTGATCACCCCACTGCAGAGTGGGGTTTGAAGCAAATTTTTACATTTTTGTCTAAGTGATTGACTTAAGTAGCTGAAKCTAAATTATTTAGTTTGAGCATCAGCACCTAATACTGGTGTTCTTTTATTGACAGTAAACACGATATGCCATGTGTGTGCTCTGTGTCATAAATGAGGCTGAACAGAGTTCAATTGAGCGGCCCAAACAGAGCTATCCAGTGTTGTTTGGGATGCCCCAGGGCATCCCTCCTGACTCCAGCTGCTGCTTCAGGAGGTCACAGGTCCCCGTGGATCTGGTGTCACACTGCCAGCACAGCCAGAGGGCCCAGGTCCACYAGGTGTCTGCAGTGGCACTTGGCTGGTGCTGCACAGTTGGGTGGGCAGTAACCAAACTAAACCACACAGAAAATCTGTGTCCGAGCCACAGCAGCGTGCCTGATGACCCACTGTGCCAGGAGTGGTCTCTTGATTAAAAATGTAGGGTTGTGTGTGCTAAGAACTATGTGGGAACTGTGGAGTTGGAACCCCTTGCTGACCCTGTACATGCGGCAGGTCACGTGTTCCTTCCATCTTCCCAGCTTTCCTGGTGTTTTCTGTTGCAGGGGATGGAGATTGTAACTGGAGAGGCAGGACATGGGAATTACTTCAGGATGCACTTTGACAGATACAGTATGGTGGATAGCATCACCTGTTTTTCCAAGGAACCCTTCCCTGTCTCCAACTACATCTGCTTGTACAGACAGCATGAGCGCCTGCTTAATGACCTGTATTATCGCTGGAAGGAAGGGCAGTTCACTGACCTCTACAGGTGAGAGAAACTACATTGTGCAGAGAGTCTACATTCTTACAGAGTTTTAGTTTTATCTTATTGTGGTTTGCCTTCTGGCTGTTGTTTCTTGGAACAAGAGGTAGACAAAAAAGTTTAAAAATACCTTCTGTTATTTAGTGAAATTATCAGTAGTAATAGTCCTTGTTTCAAGTTCTGAAGACCCTCCTGGAATGAGCTGTGTGTCTGAAATTTACTTAGAGGAGGGGTAATGGTATACTTGCATCTGAAAGGGCATTTCAGTGTCTTTATCACTTTTGTTTAGAATATTCAGCATGTTAATCATTAAGCTGAACGCGAACAGTCTTTTATTACTGAAGATTCAGGTTCAGATGTCACTTTTTAAAGTATTTTTGTTGCTTTGAATCAAATTTTTAAGCCAAAGGTTTCTAGGGAGATTTTAAATAAGTCATGGTGATAGTCATGCTCAACAACTTGCCTATTTTATTTGGTGATAAATCCTGAAGGGGTRAGAGAGACTGAAGAGCCTTGTTTGTTCTAGTCATGTGCAGTCTCCTCTGAGAGAATTTTTCATTGCTTTTGATTTTCATTTTAAGAAATCCCTCACAAATGGTGCTTTTGAACATGAACTGTCACAGATGGAGTAGTGAAGCACTGCCTTACATTAGCTGAGTAGAGACAGAAAACTAGGTTCAGGAACAAATTATCAGTATTTATTGTGATACAAAGCTGATAGTGCCTGAAATGTTTCCAGGTCTGATTTTGTTATATTTATAAGTAATTGGAAGAAAGRTACCCATGGTAGCAAAATTTTCAGATTAAATGTTGTTATTTAGGTAACAGTCTGTAAAAATTTGCTGTAAAGGGTATACTGTGGTCCAGAAGATGCTTATGAATTTTTGCTTCTATAGGGCTTGATTTTGATTTATAGCAAATATTGGATTTGTTTTACAAGAGGAACGGGGCACTTGGAACGGGCAAATGTGAAGTTTGCCTGAACAGCACATTGTCAGTAAGTGTTAAGGAGAAACTGAAGGAGGGTGACATGAGTGTGTGAGAGATGGGCTGAGACAGCAGGTGATTTCCTTTCCTTGTCACGGCTCATGCTGATCATGCATTTGGAGCACTGGGAGAACTCMATATTCAGGCTGTGGCAAAGTACCCTCAGTCCTTTCTGTGGCATTACACTGTGCACACACATTCTGAGCTCATCTGTTCTGTGAACCACACTGAGRCCGTGGTTGTTTGCCCAGGTGTGGTTAGTGTCACTTGTTGGATGTACCAGCAAGTTTCACACCAGTAGCAACATCTGGAAGAATAAATCATCTTGCTTTGGGATTTCAGCCTGCAGCACAGGCAGCAGTRTTTTACTGACCTTGACCAAAGGATCGCTGGTGTGTGGCACAGAGGGACACCACCTATCAGGGCCTCATCACATCCGTTCAGCTCTCCTTAATTAGTGATGATGAACTAATTTTGGACTTATCTTTTACAGCCTTTAGAGAGTGATGTTGTTTGGGACCTTTTGCCTCATTATTTTATCTCATCTCTCATTAGCCTGTGGCAGAATTCCTGAATTACAGTTGCCAGGTTTTTCTTATCTGGTTATTTTATTGCCTCCAGTWATTTTCAGTCTTCTGTATACCTTATCTTTAGATAGGTTTTTTCCTTCTCTTCTTGCTCTTTGGTCATATGAATGAAATCCCATATGTTGCTCTGCAGCAGCGAACATATGCTGCTCTTTAATCCTTGCTCCTGTGCTTCTTGTGACACTTACACACACACATTCCCATTCATCCCAATTTGGTGTTACAGGTAAACTGCCTGGCATCCCCATGGAGCAGTCCTGGCACACAGGAAGCTGCCACAGGAATTTGCTGCTTTCAGGAGGCCATAGAGCAGCAGAAGGCTGGCAGTATAATKTGTTTTCATAATACATCATACTACATCTACATCCCCACAGTACAGTGTCACGTAAATGTGCATATATTTGTGTGCAGTATGCAATAGACAGTTTTTAAACCAAGCCATGAGAAGACTKTTTATTACAAAACCATTATGGTGAAAAATGGCTTAGCATCTCTTGTGAGTTGTCTTGAGACTTTTAGGTAGAGAAAAAGTGGTGCCTGGTTGGCTTTTGGTACAGTGCAGGAAAACGCATTCATTGATTTCTATGCATGTGGTAAAACAACAACTATTACAAGTCTTGTTCACATGGTCTCAAGGATCCCACATGAAGGCCAACCTAAGGTTAGGACTGAATTCCTCTGTTTGCCTTTCAAAATCTTGTACACATTACACTTGCATCCACATCTTCTAGCAAGATGTGAAGTGAAAAGAAAATACAGACTGTAAAAGTGAGGTTTGTTAGTTAAGCATGTAAACTTGGTGGTTTGAAACATCCATTCTCCCCCTCTCTTCTTTATCSTTCTCTTTTGGGAAGAACCTTTCTACAAGGCAAGAAAGTGCACTGTTCTAATCTTTTGGTCTGCATTTAGATTTCCCAGCATGGCATCTCGTTCCAGGAATGGACACAGTGGAACAGCTGTCACCTGGGAGCTAATTTATTTCTGTGTAGCATGCAAATTGTCTTTTAAATAATGAGAGACCGCATCTAGCAGTGAATTTCCTCACTGATTTGTGTTTGGTGTAAGAGCTGAAAGTTAACCCCATGGTACCGGATTTCCTGGTCAGAATGTGCAAGTGCCATTCTCAAATTAACATGAACAACAGGCCCTCAACATCCAGCAAACATGACAAAGTCACCCCTTCCGGTCGTGTGCCTGGAGCTGTGGCTAATGGGAATAATGAGAGGAATAGAATTTCCTTTTGTCTGGAGAAAAGTTCCATTGATTTGGGTATGAGTTCAGCAGGATTAAAARCTGCAGGATTTGACCCACAAGCAAAGGAAGGTTTGGTTGCTGCTGTGCCTCCTGGCCTCAGTACCTGTGCTCTTGGAGGGGGTGAAGCAGTGGGCACACATTACCCTCCCTTCCAATTGCCCCGTGCCATGCAGTGGGTGCTCCCCTTTCACCTGGGCCTGCAGCCAGTACATTCCTGAGCAGAGGTGCCTGACAGTGCAGTTCTTCTATGCCAGGGTAGGAAAAAGCACAGGAACCAAAGACTCAGTATCCAAAATCTGAGGATTTTTGTACACAAGACTGTTGTCACCTGTGAGTTGAATGGCATTACTCACAAGATTAGGAATCCACTTCAGGAAGGTGTTTCTGCAATTTTTATTCATTTCCCATCAGGCTGCATCTCAAAAAGTCAATTAGAATTTGAGTCTCCAAGAGCAAGGCTCTTTCTTGCAGGGAGTCTGCTCCTGAATGAAAAAGAAAGCAAATTCCAGTGGTGTGACCTGAAGTATATTGTGCTGTACACCATGCTCCTGTCCTCCCTCCCTTGCTGGAAGGCCTTTGGATTATTTCCATTACTATTGCCCTAGCAGTAGATAAAAGAGAGGGGTGGGGAGAGAGGTCTGAAACATTTTTGCTTTTCTTTTTAAGTTTATAGATTTRCTGGTCATCAGTCCTCCACACTGCTTCATGGAGGAGGAATGTAACCAGWGAGTGACCCCCTTTTGTGTTTTTCTGAGCTGAAGGCAGCTGCAAGGCAGTTGCCAAGTTATGGWACATGTCCACAGAGCAGAGGAATCTCCCTCTGCTGCATCTTAAGTACAAAACAGATAATTAGAGGAGTCTCCTGATACTTGGCAACCAAATGGATGCTCACTGGCATCATGCCTTTAATCTGAGAKAGAAGTGCTTTGTATAAGCTTCATTTGGCATTAATGAAAATCAAATCTAACATAAGTGCATAAAAATCTTACMTGCTAGTTTCTGAAATACTTAAGAATCTTATTTTGCAAATGAGGTGTGAGTGGCATTTAGTTGTGAGTTTATAATTGTGTATTAATGAAATCGTTGTCAGCTACAACCTTCGGAAGATGCTGGTTGTGTCTCAGCCATGTGGCACTGACAGTGATGGTGAGGCCAGGGAGCACAGGGTTAGGCCTGGGAAGGCGTGCACAAAGGCAGYGTATGTTTTAATAGATGATGAGCAGGGAAACCTCACAGGGAGTCATCCAGACAGAGCTCAAAATCACTTTGTTACCTTTTGTTTCATTACTTGGTTTCAGTATTTGAAGGGCTTCTCAAACGGATCAATTTGCTTGCCCTGCATGGGGGTCTTGGGCACCATGAGGAGGGAGAAACTCCCAGCAGACACGACCAGGGACTCTTTGGCAAGAAGGACTTGGGGGGTGGGTTATGTGACAGTACTYGTGCATGAGACAAAAAACACAGGGGATTTAGCTGAATTTGTACCCCAAAGGAATGTATTTCCCAGTGCCAGGATATAGGGAGAATTCAGTTTTCACTGAGAGAGGGAACCAGAGATCCATACATGGATCTGTGGAGATCCATACCAGCTGCTTCGTGCCATACCTGCATGCTGCCTGGCCATGGTGGGTGTCGCTGTCCAAGAGRTGAGCACCCTGAAGAAAATCACACAAAGTGGCAAAATTCAACTGCAGCAGGTACTGATAGGCCATAGAAGATGAGGCTATCAAGCACACAGTGGGAATGTATGAAGGGAGTCAGTCTCTCTTTCCCTGCGAGGCTTTGGAAAATCCACCCAGAAACTGTAAACGTAGATAACAGCTCCAGATGTTTCCTTGGCTGCTCTCTTAAAACCCTGTCTTTTATTTTCACATTGCATTTTCATAGTGGCTGTGTAAGGTAAATGCTCAAAAATATTTTGAGCTGCTTGAGCAGCATTCACTTATTTTGAAGCAATCATTTAGGTTTGTCCACTGAAGTTCAATTCCCACATCATGGTGCTGTCAACATTAGGCTGAAGGTGATGTATTAAGTAGTGTCATTCGGTGAGATTGTTAAGCAGAAGCACCACAGTGGATTGTTTATTGACTCAATGCTATAAATCTCACAATATAGTAAATACATTAAAGAAAAGAAGAACATTACATGTTTCCAGCATTGTTGAAAGGTAGAGAGAAC